CGCTTGCCCGCCACGCAATGATAAACAAGGATTCTTCTCAAACACCCGTAAAATCATTTTGTCCTCCTTTTTCGTCGTTTTCTGCACAGAGCCACGATCCGGCAAGTCATCAACGTTTTTGACCTCGGAATAACGTTTCACCCACTTACTCACAAACGCCTTAGACTTCTTCATATACTTAGCAGCCGCTCCGCGCGACATTTTTGGTCCTTTCGGATGCGAACATAGAAACACAGCTTCGTAACGTGATGCGTACGCGGCACTCATGTTGAAATACGCCCTTTTGTGACGAAAGTCAAACGATAACTAAGGCTTTCTAGACAAAGCATCTTGGGAGAAGAGCCTCGCTATTGGCTCGCGTTCATATCCCCCCTCTAACGGTTTCGAGGAAAAAGTTTTGCCGTACACGCTCTTATCAAACATACTGTACGTTATTAATATTGAGATTCCTTAATTTTCTTTATAATTGCGATATAACTATGTTATAAAACTGTTATGTTATGTTATTATATTATGTTATTATGTTATTTACTGCTTAAGTTACACCAACAATATAACAGCAACATAATTTTAACATAATGTTACATAAGAATTCTAATGTTTGCATTACATTCCAGTTAAGCAATATTTTTATACACAAATGTGAAATTATATTTTCGGTGTTTCTCGTATATAAAATGTGATATTTAATATATGCAAGGATCGTTATCACGATATTGTAAAACTAGAATTCTTACAAAAAAAGTCTAATCATAACTTTATCTAAATATTGTGAGAAAGAAAGAAGGAATATTTTCTTTTTTGCAAGCACGTTATAGGTTAAAATTTGATTACTGATACAACATTGTATCAATATTAATCGCTTTGTGATTGTTGTTACGTCGTGTCAAACATTTACCAACAAATATATCATAACATTTTTTGAACAATATAAGAGTATGTTGTAAATATCATCTACTAAGTTATCGTTACAGCGCATCGGCATCGCCAGTTCCCGTACGATGTTGAAGTTAAGTATTGAACAACATGATGTAAAAATAGCTGACACAGGATCGAGACCACGCGAGTTTTACGAATAAGTGAAATGACACGAAATATGAAATGCCAGTTTTTTTTTATTATTTAGACAAAATAACTATACATTATCATTTATTTGAACCATACTAGTGAATAAATCGTTGGAATTCAACAGAAAAATATATGTATTAATTCGTTAACGAATAACATATAACTGTTATATAACTTTTCAGTCACATGTTACTTTTATGTTATATTCACGTTACATAACTGTAACACGTATGAGTAGGAAATTACAACGAACGTCTATATAACCTACTATATATATATTACATTGCATGTTACATTCCGTTCCATTACGGCAATGTAACTGTTATACATCTGTGTTTGCTGGGTAGTATATACAGGGTGACCCATTTTAATCTATAATTCCGAATATCTCCTAAACTACCCGCTCTACGGGAAAATAGTTGCGACAATAAATGTTCAGGACAGAAGGGTTCACAAACCTGTGCTAATGTCCTTGACCTTGAGATGACCTTTCAAAGTTATTTGAAGGTCAAGGTCTTTTTTTTTAATAGGAACCCCTATTTTTGACCCCGGATTTGGAAACAACAGCAAATTTTACGTTCAAAATGATATTTTGAAAATTTTTTATATGACCTTCAAAGGTCAAAAAAAGGTCAAATGTCTAAAAATGGCTGTAGAGCTGTTTTTCTAAGTGATTATGGTTTTTTAGAATTGACAAGCGTTGGAGGAACTTTAAAAAGTAAGTGTGATACGCTATGACCTTCTTAACCTTTAAGTTAACTATGAAGGTCATTTGAAAGTCGAGGTGATTATTTGAAATAGGAATCTCTATTTTTGACGTTGGATTTGAAAAAGCAGGAAATTAACGTGAGTAAAGACACGTCTTCGCGATTTTCATCACTCGTGTGAAATCCATCACACAAGGTGAAAATCGCTTTCTTGCACGCTCATTGGAGTGAGATATTCTTCTTACTTTTGGCGTTACCCAAAAACAACGACGTGGACGTAGTAAGTACTGTTTCCTTTGGGGTGCTTGATTCCCGTGAGTCCCCTTGCCTCTCACGTTTTTAGACATTTGACCTTTATTTGACCTTTGAAGGTCATATAAAAAATTTTCAAAATATCATTTTGAACGTAAAATTTCCTGTTCTTTCCAAATCCGGGGTAAAAAATAGGGGTTGCCATTGAAAAAAAAGACCTTGACCTTCAAATAACCTTGAAAGGTCATCTCAAGGTCAAGGTAATTAGCACAGGTTTGTGAACCCTTCTGTCCTGAACATTTTTTGTCGCAACTATTTTCGCGTAGAACGGGTAGTTTAGGAGATATTTGGAATTATAGATTAAAATGGGTCACCCTGTATATCGTCATGTATATTCATCTTACATATATGAAATGTATATGCAGTGGATATACAGAATGTTTTTTTTCACATCATTGAGCTTTCATGTATATACATATAATGCTATGTGGGTAGTTATATTCTGTGTTTACTGGGATATAATCACTTGTAAATTTGAACAATTTATGGTGTAATGCAATTACTTATTTGTTCCATGCTTTGTAGAAACTATTAACAACTGGTAATAATAAGAATTAGTACATTCAAGAAGCATGTAAACTTATAATGGTTGATTATTCATAGGTATTGATACTAGGAAATCTAACGCTTGAAGGGTTCACGATGAAGAGCTCGAGAATCATGGATTACCCACACGTCTCTCTAGCACTTCGATACTTAGGTGAATTCCACGCGTACAGTTTTATCACACGCGTTGCTGATCCGATAAGCTTCGACAAATTGAAACAAATGGAGGAGCCATTATTTTGTCGAAAATCAAATTTTGAGAACGATGAATATATTCATCACATTTGCAGTATCGTTGGGAAGGTACTTAATCGTTATTTCGTTAATCGTTGAATTTTATCTACGTATTCTCTGATTCGAGCCTATATTTATAATTTTTTCTCTTGTTTTACTATTTATAGGTTTTACTAGACGAGGAGAAACATTATATCGAGAGATATCAACAATTCACAGATAATTTTATACCTAACCTAAAGGATGTGGTTAATGGTAACGCCGCTGAACCCTACGCCGTTGTAAACCACGGTGATGCTTGGACTAATAATATACTTTATAAATACGAACAGGTATGTCGACTACATAAAATCTATTAACACGTTTATTATATAAAGGGTGATTCAGAAAAATCTTTTAATATTAAAAATACAAAATGTTGACAAAATTCTAAGGTAAATATCGACAGCTCCAATCACTTTGATATTGACATATATTATAGAAGTCATCCTCCTAAGTAATCTTCAAAAGGTTTTAACCGTCGACGGCTAAAACTTTTTGCGTGTCATTAGGACGATGACTTTAACAACATATGTCAAGATCAAGGTCACTGGAGCTTTCTCCCCTAAAATCGATATTTACCAATTCTAAGACACTTCTTCCCTTGGCAAAACTTCGACAAACACGTAATTGTAAAGTTATTACCAAAAATAATGATCCTATTACGGTCCGGGTTCAAAAGATAGGCAAAGGCTATGCAACTCACCGTGACACGTGGGCGCTACCCAGTAAACATTGTTACATAGGTGTTCGAGAGCGAGGATTATTTTCTTGAAATTGGCGATCGAACATTCTAGAACGTTCGCTCGATCGTCAGCATCGCGACAGGCTCGCGCTAGCCGCAGCGCGAGTTCACACTTTTTTTCGCTGTGACTTCGCTCGCTGGTCGCGGTTGCCATGCCGACCGCTCGCGCAAACAAAAAACATACGCGCTAGACAACTCGCGCTTTAGATCGCCGCTGTTACCACGCGCACCTTATATGGCAATATTCTAGAAGATTCGGCAACTGCGACCAACCAGCGAGCGACCTGTCGCTAAGCGCCTTTTCGTTAAAAGCCGCCCTCATCGACGACGAGGGCAGTCAGGCAGTCAAGCACTCAGTCAGTCAGTCAGTGTCTCGCTTCTCTCGTCGACAGGATCAAATCTCGATCCGCGCGTTAATCAGCTGATTTCCAGTAACGGCGATTGAATCAGCTTGCTCGTCGCGCGTCCACTTGATAGACCGGAAATCAAGATCTCATTCGGGCCGGTTATCCTTCGGGGACCGCGAACTCCGCTGCATTCGCGTCGCTCGCGAGATTCAAGAGTTGCAGCATCGCCGCGACTCCGCTCGAGCGCCGAGAGTATAACTCTCTCTCGGGCCAGCTCCTCGCTCTCGTTCGCAAGTCGGCGGATCTCGTCCGCCGCTTGCCGCTCGCGCCGTGCGCGCGCTATCATTCTCGGCCTCCGCGGCCTCCGCGATTTCCGCCAATGGTCAACCGGACCGTGGCTCTGTGAGACGCGTCGCGAGTCATCAACTCGCTTCACTCGTACATTTAATTTAGTGCACCTTGTATCACTGTGTAATTTCGTGTCATTACATTGTTCCTTTCAAGTTTTCGAGAAATCATTCGTTCGACGGCACGCGGACGCGCGCCAGGGTCGCGGAAGATCTCCGTCGCTCGCGCGCAAGATTTCCGTCCGCGGAGCGCAAGTGTAACGCTCAGCAAGATTTCCGTCGCGCTCGGCTGACCCGGCCCTCGGCAAACGAAAATATCCGTTTCAAACCTCTCGGCCGTCGAACTGCATTCTCGAGTGACTGTGTCGTGCAATAAAGAAAGTGATTGTCCAGAAAAGTGTTCAATTACTCGACTCGCTCACCTTTCCTCTCCGCGCCCTGTGCTGGGTGATATCAGCGCGTTCGCTCGCTGCCCGACGGGAGCTCAGCCCGTCGAATCCGCGACATAATTGCTGGTCTTTCGAGCCGGATCGGTGAGGTTGAGCGAGTTCATCAAGCCGTCACTCGAGAGAATCTGTGATGGCCGAAATCTGGACGCGGCAGCAGCAGCTGCAGCGATCCATTGATCGCTTTCTCGAAAATTTCAAAAAATTGGGACGGTCAAATCTGACCGCTGCGAAGATCCGCTCACGCATTTCTGCGCTCCGAGACCTGTGGCAACAGTTTCAAAACGGGAACGCCGTGCTCCTCCAGTCCACTCCAGCAGCACAACAGGACGCTATCGAGTACTTCAGCGGGCAGTGCTTCGACGCGACGGAGGAGATATACCGAACAGCGCTGGATCATCTTACTGAGGCTCTCGAGGAACTCGAACCTCCCGTGAGTCCTCAAAACGACTCTGCGTTAAATCATACAGCGCGTATCAATTCGGTGTCTCTCGCACAGCTGCCGCCTATTAGCTTGTCGCCTTTCGACGGTCAGCTCGAGCAGTGGGAATCGTTTCGCGATCGGTTCACTTCATTGATAATTCGAAATCCCGAACTGAATAATTTTGCGCGGATGCCTTTCTTGACTACGTGCGTGAAGGGTCAAGCGCTTTCATGTATTCATAATCTACCGGTCACCGCCGCTAATTTCGAGATCGCCTGGCAGGCGCTGGTTTCGCGGTACGAAAACAAAGGCCGGCTTCTCCATCGACATTTATCGACTTTACTTCAGTTATCCGCGGTCACGCACGAATCAGCTGTCGAGCTGCAAGCGCTGCGCGACCGAGTCAAAGTAACGATAGCTTCGCTCATTCATTTGCCGCGCAGTCCGTCCGACTTGTGGAGCGACATGCTCATACATCTGGTAGTGCAACGTCTCGACGCATTGTCGCGAAAAGCCTGGAATTTGCGGGTCGCGGATCACGACGATTTTCCGTCCTTCGCGGATCTCGATCGGTTTCTTGCATCTCGCGCTCGCGCGTTCGTCGAGATCGCGAGTGCCACTTCGACCCGATCAAACCACCGCAGCGGTCAATCGCGTCAGGTCAGTGCCGCGACAGTGTCCGCCTCCTCTTCGCAACAGTGTCCGATGTGCAAGTCGCGACACTTTTTCAGTGCGTGTCCGTCGTTTGTGCGAGGGATACCGATACAGCGTCGCGAGCTCGTTAGGAAGCACGGTCGGTGTTTTAATTGCTTGAGTCGTAATCATTCGGCTAATGAATGTTCAAGCAAATATTCGTGTCGCGTATGTCAACATCGACACTACACGTTGCTTCACGCGAGCTCGACGTCCGCTGTGAAAAACGAAACCGCAAATTCTGCCACGCCGCCGACTCTGAACGACAATTCTCGATTAGCAGTGCAATCGTTACTTGCTTCGCGCTCTCAAGAAAATACTTCTCAGATTTTGCTCGCCACTGCTCGTGTTCAAATGCGCGGAGTCGGCGATCGTGCGGTCGAGGTTCGCGCGCTCCTCGATCAGGGCTCCGAAATGACTTTTATTTCGGAGCACCTGGCTCAATTATTACGGTTAAAGCGACGTCGTATGCCGACCTCGGTGTCTGCCGTCGGGTGCGTCAGCGCCAGTACCTTTCGGCACGCTGCGCTCATTATTGTATCGTCGCGAAGCGCATCTTTTCCGACGGTGTCTACCACCGCTCTTATTTTGCGTTCATTAACTTCGTACGCGCCGCGACGCGTCGCGGGGCTCGCATCGTTATCGTATCTTGCCTCTCTTGCGCTCGCCGATCCGGATCCTACGTGCAGGGATCCGATTCATTTAATTCTCGGAACCGACGTTTACGGCTCTATTATTCTCGACGGTTTGCTCAAAGGCGGAGTAGACTGACCTATTGCGCAAAACTCCATATTCGGGTGGGTCATTTCTGGGCCGCTCATGACCTCGCCTCGTTCCGGTTCGGAGTGTAGCTCCGCGCGATCCTCGTCGCAAAGCGCGAATCGAATCACGTCGCTCCATTGCTTCAATTCCTCGCCGTTGGAGGACAGCCTGCAACGATTCTGGGAGACCGAGGAAGTTTCAAATAAAGTCATCGTATCGTCTGAGGATCAGCTATGCGAAGCGCATTTTCTCGCTACTCATTCTCGAGACGCGACCGGGCGTTACATCGTTTGCCATTCAAGCCCGAACATCCGCTCGCCCTCGGTGATTCGCGGCGTCGCGCGGAAAAACAGTTAAACTCCATTTTTGGCCGAGTCCTATTGCAGCCCGACCTGTTGGCTGAGTATCGCGCGTTCGTCGATGACTACGCGCGCCTTCGACATATGCAGCTGGCCTCACCTCACGCCGGATCCGAACCGGTCGTCTATCTGCCGCACCACCTGGTCTTCAGAGACTCAAGTCTCACGACTCGCGTTCGCGTCGTTTTCAATGCGTCGAGTCTCATATCGAACGGATCAAGCCTCAACGATCATTTGATGATCGGTCCTAAATTGGTCGACTTACCTGCCGTTTTTCTTCGTTGGCGACAATTTCGGTTCGTGCTATCCGCGGATATCGCTAAAATGTACCGTCAAATCTTAATCGATCCGCGTGCCATCAACTTTCAACGGATTCTATGGAAAGATTCCATCGACCACGCGTCAGTCGAATATCAGCTTCTAACAGTCACTTACGGAATGGCCTGTGCTCCGTTTCTCGCGCTGCGCGTGCTAAAACAACTCGCGATCGACGAAGGCGAATCGTTTCCTCTCGCGGTGCCGATCCTCCGCGAAAACATTTACGTCGACGACGTCCTCTTCGGAGACGAGGACGAGAGCGCGCTTCGCGAGAGTCGCGAACAGCTGATCCTTCTTCTCAGGCGAGGCGGATTCGCGCTTCGCAAGTGGGCCAGCAACTCACTCTCGCTTTTAAGTAACATAGACGCGGCATAGATCACGGCATTTCGTAGTCGGTCTCTCTCCGAGTCTGATGTGGTATATATCCTCGGTATTGAATGGAGCCCTCCAATGGACTCACTTCAGATTCGCGTATCATTAGACGCGGAAGCTCCGGAAACAAAGCGCGGTATTCTGTCCGCGATCGCGAAGTTGTACGATCCGCTCGGTCTTGTAACACCGGTTACGCTCGCGGCGAAACTCATCATTCAACAACTCTGGAAGGCTGGAGTATCGTGGGACGAACGCGTTCCGAGGGTCATACTGAATCGCTGGTCGAGCATTTATCGCGAGCTTTCACTTCTCCGGGACATCCGTCTTCCGCGCTGGACCGGGCATTCCTCGCACATTACAGCCGAATTACACGGCTTCTCGGACGCGTCCAACGTCGCTTACGCCGCCGTCGTCTACCTGCGCGTAATCGACTCTTCGCGCGCCGCCACCGTTACTCTTTTGCAGGGGAAATCGCGAGTC